TGGTCTGCAAATTGGTATGGGACCTGGTGCTTTGGTGTTGCAAGAGAAAGGCTTTCTTCTTCTCTTGTCTGACTGGAAGTTTGGACCTTCAGCTTAGTGTAACAGTGAAGTAGTCAGATGTGATGGTATGTCTACTTTTCATGAAATGCAGAAGGATCCCACCTTTCCTATCCCAAAAGACAGTACACATCATTTTACCTACTGAGAGCTGTATCTTGAACATTTTCTTTGATGGCAAATTCACGTCACCAACAATAGAATAAAAGCCATTACTTTCTGAACAAACCTCATTTGCAGTAGGAAGAAAATTGTCAGGTTATTTGATTAAAGACAAATGATAATAATAAGCACAGATCAGGAGAGGATCAGAGGAACAAGTGAAGGAGTTCACGAAGATTTGATAATCATTGAAAATGGAGCACATTGAACTGCTTGTTCTTAAGGTGTCTAGCTGGACTAAAGGACTAAAGCTGGAGAAGGACTAAAGCTGGAGAAACTGAAGTGTGAAAATCACTTTCCTGACTAATCCCTGAACTTGCTCAATGCAGCTTGTTCTCTGTCCTTACCAAATTCCAACTCTGACTGTGATTTGTATGGGTATGCTTTAAATAGTACAACTTGGTTAGGGATGGAACCATGGCAAACTGATTCTCTGGGTATAAGCTTCACTCTATGTCCTAACACCCAGTAAATCCTCAACCTCAAACTGATGTACTCAGCAGAAGCCATGCAGGAGGTCAAATGGCAGGAACAGTCTGTATGATAAATCACTGGTGTTTGCCACAATGTTCCCCTTCTGAAATTTCACAGAATCAGAGCCACAGGAGTTGGAAAGAACTCTGTAGATTATCTATCTGTTCTAACCCCCTCAAGTTTGGTGGGATGAAACAGAACTCTGATAACTCCCTATTGCTTGGAAAGGAAAAGAAATAAATATCAAGTCCTCCCTCTGGAAACACCTGGAGAAAAGAGTCCTTTGTTCTTGCTTCATGTTGCAACATGGTAGATTTAGCAGCTGTCCCCACAGCACTGTGTGGGGTAAAGCCCTTCAGAGAAAAGCCTTTGAGGAAATAACCTGATTTTGGAAGATTTATAATCTTTCTCCATTTTCCTATGCCTTGCAATGTCAGCAGTGCTCATAGGTGTAAAATTAAGAGCAGCGTACCCAGACAAATAAGATACTTCTCTGAATGGGAAATCAGTTCACCCTTCTCTGTTCAGTCTGATGCTATGTACAGCTGTTTTCTTGCTGAGCCTAAGACAGAGATGCTGTTTTGTGTTTTTTTGTTGTTGTTGTTTGTTTTTTGTTTATTTATTTATTTATTTTCAGACTGACTTAATTTCTCTGTTGTAGTCCCCTCCCTGCTTTTTAATAAAGAAATTACAAGGGAGAATCACTCTTTGAAAAATGATGTATTTCAGGCTGAATGGCTTTATTAACTGTGAGACAGCCTCTCTGAAACCATGCTATTATGTCTGTCCCACACATCCTGAAGAAGTATTTGCCTCTGCATTTGAAGTTTACTGAAAGATTTATGTGAGAATTTGCCCTGTGATTTCTGCCAATTTTAATGTTTTTGTTTTTTGTTTTTTGTTTTTTGTTTTTTTTTAATATAACCATTCAAAAATCAAGATACTACTCAATGATTTTTATGCTGAGGATTTCTATTTAATTCCTATCAACAGAAGTATCTGGAGTTCCTTTATCTGTCTTTTATGTCACCAACATAAATACCAGCAAGTTGAAAATGCTGTAGACCTGAAGATCTGCTAAAATCCATGTATTATCCTGTAAATGTCTGGTTCAAGCTCCCTAAAGGGACTTGGAAAATTCAGCTCAAACTCTTTTCTGATACAAACCTGACTGTTTGTGCAACTTGGACTATGGACTTGGACTATGGACTTGGACTATGTCCAAGTTGCACAGTAGACACTGAACTGTTATGAACAGCAGCTACTTTCATTTGGAGAAATCCCAACTTCATGAGAACTGTTTGGAGGAACTGCCTGTTCAGGAGAGTGAAATAATGTCTGAGCTGCCTGAGGTGTTCCACCACCACAGCCCATAGTAGTTCTTGTTTGCATGCTCTCTCTGTATCTCAGAAGACTGGACAGCACCTTGACCACATAAACAGTGTTTGGAGAATTGACTTGAGCTCATTGACAATGTTCACAAACTGAGCACTGTGACATGCCAGAAAAATTGCATTTCAGTTCTGGATGAATTGTATTCCTTATCATTTTTTGCTGTTTTTTGTTGTTGTTGTTGTTTTTCTGAAGATTTACAAGTGTCTTACTTTCATTCACATTTCCAAGAAGGACAGCTGACAACTCTCTACCAAGGATGTATGTTTACAAAGCACCTTCTGCATAGAGTTGAACACTCTTTGAGAAATTATCTATTTCAGAGGGCTCCAACTTGTATTGCCAAATGAAATGGACATGAAGCTAGTTCTGTGCAATGCAAACAATTTTCAAGTTTTTTGAGATTCTGATTGTAACCTCCACATTCTTCAGACAGAGCTGTTCTATGTAAATATCTAGGTGCTGATTATTAGATTCAAAGCCATGGCTAATTTTAAAGGAGAATCTAAGCTACAGTCCTGAATTCTCCACTTTCAAAGAAAATCATTTCAAACACAGACCAGCTCCTATAAGTACCAGCAATCTACAGCCCTGGAAATCTATAGCTTTTCTACACGGCCCCTCAGTTCTTTCCTCTGATCTGCTTGTTTTTCAGACAGAAAAAAACCTGCATTTATGAGAACACCACCACACATGCATCCTACAATAGCCTACAGATATAAACTATGGGATCCTTTTTCTTGTAACACGCTAAGCCAGGCCTGATACCTGTTTGAAGACCATGGAACACTTTGCCAGTCTTGGGTGGATAGTCCTACCACACCCACCATGTACTCAGGATTTGTTGCCTTATGACTTCCAGGGCTGAAGATAGACTACACTGAAAAATAGTATTTTGTAACTGAGTGTGTGCTCTATCAATTAGTGTTATTGTGCTCTTTGTATCTGTTGTTTCCATGGAAATAGGAGGCATTACTTTGAGAGAGACTTATGTATATAAGATTTTGACTTAAGCAGCCTGGTCATCCTTCCTGACCCTTTCTACACCTAACAAATTTTCTGATGCAGATAATGCTGAAATAGTTGTTAAGGAGTGACCTGAGGAGCTTTATCTTGCTAACAAAGTCCAAGCATCATCTTGTACTTGTTGAATGCTGCCCTAGTTGAGTTTTGTGTTTCATGACTGTTTGAATATATATATATATTTGTTACATTTTGTGTTGCCATCTTTGACTCTTTTTCTCTTTTTCTACGATCTTTTTTACTATTTTACTATATATATATATATTTTTTTTGCAGTGGAATTCTAAATGTTAAAAACTGAGGATCATTAGATATAGGCATACTGGGTCTAATAATTGTTTTTAGCTAAACTGCAGACAAGTAACTTTAAAGTTAGTATTCAGAACATCTCAGTCCTGAAAAGGCTGTTTTATTTTTTCCTTTGATCACGTGCCAGGTTTTCACAGCAGTGTGTTTCCTTTATTTCTCTTTGGAATAGTCAGAGCAGACAAAATGGAGAATGATTTGTAGCCACAGTGTTCGTCTCTCTAACCAAGGTAGAAGCTTCCACCACTAGTACCTCACCTACAGTGTGCAGGCAACTAGTGAACCAGGAGATACTCCTTAACTGATGTTTGAAATCCTGATAACACACACTAATCCTCAAGTATGACTTTCAGATAAAAAAAGTCTGCTATTAATATGTGATGTTCCAGGAGATGTGTTGAATGTCGATAATGATCAGAAGCTCTGGTAAAGCCACCAGTGCCTCAGCACAAACTGTGGGCTGTTATGTGTATGAGAGACATTCATTTGCAATACTTCCTCTAGACTAATTCAGAAAACATTTAAGATGTATGGAAAGAGCCACGTGAAATTCTTTCAAAAATTCTTTTTAGTTGGAAAATTATGTATTTTATAATTTTCCACTGGAAACATCAGGAGTTTCAAAAACACTGTATTGTTCCTTTCAGATATTTAGACTGTGTGTGTGTGTGTGTATGTGCACTTCATATGTATATGTACATTTTTTTCTTCCAGTCTACAAAATATTTCAAGAGTGGAGAACAGATTGCTATTAAAAAACATCCACTTGGCCTAGAGTAAAATTAAGAAAAAGAACCCTAAAGCTTGGATCTTTTAAAAATGACTGAAATTGTTTGTAAAAACTTTTACTTTGCTTTTCCTTATTTTTAGCCTACAATAGCTTTGAGTTAAGTTTATTTTGTTTATAAAATAGTAAACATGGATTCATAACAGAGGGAAAAAAAAAAATAAAAATCAAACCTTAAGCAAATCTGATGGCTAATATGATCAGATCTACCAAGCTATATCTACAAGCTCCATGTCTTTCCAACTTGCTATGATTTCAGCTCACTTAGATTCTGGATTAATTTCATCCATTTCTGTATCTTTTTGGTACTTAGCCATGATGTTTGTAGCAGGGTGGTTTCCATCTCACTTTGTTGTTGCTATATACACTTTGGACGTTGATAACACAGTCTTGCTTCCTGGATGGTCTGCATCTCTTTTAAGGGGGTTATTCTGATTTTATTACAGAGTGTGATAGTGTACATTCGCTGGATGGTTATGTCAAAAACCACAGAGCTCTGAGCCTCTCTGGTTCCTCTCAGGTTGAAATAAATTGTTTTCCAAGTTTACCAGTTGAGGTGGAGTTGCTGGCTGTATGCCTTAATTTGCAGTTATCTTTTTTTCAGGTGCTCAACTCCAAGCAGGTGTGAGGAGACACTGTATCAGTGCATCCATGCAGCGTATCAGCAGAAGGGCTGGAAGGCTTCTGATGGTGTCTGGGAGCCACGCAAAAATGTGACATTTCCCTCTTGGGAAAGAAAGAAAAAAGAAGAGAAAAAAGAAAAAAAAAAAAAAAAAAAAAAGTGGGGTGGAGGGGGGAAGAGAAATCAATATATAGGTATTAATGTGCCTTTGTGAAGATTCAAAACAGATGGGGAAAAGGTCAAGGATTCTTTGTTGCTAAGTGCGTTTCTATGACAACTGCAATATGTACGTTATGCGTGAGCAATCATTTGTTCCAGTTGCTGGATCATTAAAGGGCCAGCATTTCCCTGAGCACTGGGAATGTTATTTACGGCTTATTTACTTTTTCTTTACCCCTCTTTAAGCTCAGGTTCAACAGGTAAGACTCAATGAATACATGAAAATCTAAGTCAATCACAGCATGCTATACCATAGGGCTGGTTGAGTCTGGATTACATGGTGAGTGCCTTAGAGGACGCTGAGGAGCTTAGTAAAGAGATTAGGGAGATTAATTTAGATCCAATCACGCAGTTAAATTTGTACATTCATGATGGTTGGCTGTGCTGGATGCATTTTCTGTAGAACTTGTGACTTGAGAGCCCCATGTGACTGGTCTCTCTTCAGTCATCTGTAACATGAGAATAATGGTATGCACAAAGATTTTAAAAAACTTTGGACATAAAATTATAAAAAATAATTAACATGAATGCTGATAGAATGCGATTGTTGTTGTTGTTATTGTTGTTTTTTCATACATTGAAGTAAGAGGACAAAGCCTTTTTCAGCACAGCATGGGAATCTGGACCAAGAAGAACAAAGTTTTTTATTCACAGGAATCAGATTTGTGGATATGTTGCAGATAACCTCTGAAGTTGTATTTCTAATGTAAATTAAAGCTTAGTAAAATCTCAATTTTCATTCTTTTACTGAACACCTACATTTCTACTAGTTCTGAAAACGGAGAAAATCACCACTGAGAACTGTTGATGTTCCCACTAGCTCTCCTATCCCATCACGTTTTTGGAGAAAATGAGCTTCTTATTATTTGTCAGCCTGACTACATGTGAGATGTAAAACTTTTAATATTTCTTTCCATTCCTCCCTATTTCCTGACTTTCTAGAGACTTTTAATTGCATTTGCCAAGGAGTATAAAAGATACCCAGGTCTTGTGGTGTTTCTCATTGTTCTTGTCTTCCTCCTCTCTTCCAGTCAGTTAGGGATTTAGGCCCTGAGCTTCCCATGTATCAGTGACTCTTTTGTTCGAATATAAGCATATTCTGTACCACATTGCAGGTATGATGTTGCTCACAGATTAATACAGGTGTGAAAAAAGTAAAAAAGTAAAAAAAAAAAAAAAAAAAAAAGGTAAAATTTGTCTTCATTTACAAGACTATTAGCTCTTTACAGGACTGTTAACTGTGAAGAGAGTAGAAAAATGAAGTACTAGTTAAAACAATAAGCAACATGTCAGAATGTCAGAGAATAGAGCAGTTCAGAAATGTAAATATTAATAAGACTTTGCAAGAAGAGCTTCTGTTTTTAAGGCATATGCTGAGAAATGAGTATTCAGACAAAACAAACAAACAAACAAACAAAACCTCACCAACACAACAAAAAGGTGTTCTAATTTTTTTATTAATTATTTTGGTTTCCCCTTTTTACCCTCTGCAAACCACCATGAATCAGATAGAAAGATCTGGTAGAAGTCAAAGTCAAAAGAACCAACCTACCAACTCAAGCAATGAATGAGATCTATTGGACTAGGAAGCTGTGTTTGAAACACTGACAGACAGCCTTTCTGCTGAAAAAAAAGTGCCCAGCAGTGGGTGCAGGTTTACAGAGAGAAATATCAAGCTCCCAAAATATTAGGCAGTTCTTCAAAAAGCACCCAGAGCAAGCTGCCTAAGGATTGCACTGGCAGCTTAGGAAACTGCAAGATGTCAACTCAACTGGCAGGTAGCCTCAGGCAGCAAGCACAGTTTAAATGTCATAAACACTGCTCATGCTATTTGGCCTTAATCAGTTTTTGTTCATTTTTTAAGAAGAGAAATATCAAAGTTGAAGAGATTTGCAATATTTATTTTGTTAACTGCTTAAAAATTTTGCTGGTATTTAGCCCCAGGGTGTAACTTTTATGATTTATTGTGTATCATTGTTGTGAAATATTTTTCTTAAATTGAATAATTTCAACATAGCTCTCTAATGGCAGGGTGATTTCATTGCAATCAGTAATAAAACTCTCCTTAATTCAAGGGAATTGATAAGGAAACACTCTGTGGGTTTCTGATAGTTTCTTTGAATAATTATTCAATTATACTTCCACTCTTGCCTTTTTTCATAAACAAACAAACAAACAAATAAATAAATAAATGCTTTAAGATGCCTGAGTTAAATTTCTGTGTTTTAGGATTGCTGCCAGAGAATTCAAGGAGGCATAAACTCAAAACAGCAGGCAGAAAAAAATCCCTATGAAATTAGTATGATTTCTTATTCTTCAAAATTAAAAACTGAATTTATTTACACCTAAGATGCTAATAATTTTTCCAGTAATCCAAACAATTTTTATTTTATTTTATTTTATTTTATTTTATTTTATTTTATTTTATTTTATTTTATTTTATTTTATTTTATTTTATTTTATTTATTTCCCAAGACACACAGAAGTAACTGTGGACTCCTGTGCTAGAATGTATTAGAGAAAGTACAGGATGTCCTGTACTAAATTAACCATTTAGTCCATGGGTGTCCAAACTTTTGGCTCTCCTGGACTGCACTGAGTGCAGAGGAATTGCCTTGGGCCACATATCGTAGGTTGCTCTGAAAGTAATGCCTCTTATTTATTTCCATGTAAATGGTACTAGATACAAAGAGCACAATAACTCAGCTTGATTGAGGAAATTCTCAGCTACAAAACATTATTTTCCCACATAATCTTAACCATGAGCTGTGCATTCTTGCCAGCAATGGACAAGAGCCTGCTTATAAAAATCTGTATCAGCAAGGCTGACCCACTGTTTCTGTTGTCAATGCTGAAGCATAACACTAACTGCTTCCCTGCACTCACACCCACCGCTTGGTCTTCATAAATGTTCAGCAAGAGTAGATGAATGTCACTGGGTGCAATTTTTTTTCACATGGAGGAATTCAATGCCACACCTTTGCTTCATATGCACTTCCATGTCAGACACCAATTTGTTGGAGTGCCCCTCTGCTGCCATCTGTTACACAACAACAAAATGTCATGAAATACTGTCTTACTGTTAGCTGTGCTGGACCGCATGCAGGCCACAGGTTGGACATGCCTGACTTAGCCTTTTAGTGTTGTCAACCATTTAGAGAGAGTTAATCTTTTAAAAAGTACTGTCATCTGAACTCTTGCCTGTCTTTTCTCATATAAGTAAGAAATTCTCTCTAGGAGATTTTTTACTCCATATAATAATTTATTTGTCTATCAATTATCAGTTTAGTTTTGCATTAATTCAAGTTCAGCACATTTTAAAAAAGTCCTCATGCAAGGATGGATCACACAGATCTTTTTCTCTCAGTGGAGCTTTGTGAGTTGAAGATAAAATAAGCTAATACCATGGTTGCTCTCTGGTTCCTTTTGTAGATTGAATCTTGAAAGGATGTAAGTACAAAACCAAGCAGTTTGAGCTGATTGTATTGCTGATTTCAGTAATGGGCTTTCAATTGTGAGCATTTGCAGAAAAGTAATTGAGGAGTGAATATATTTGCTAAAGAAGAAAGAAAAGAAAAAAAGAAAGAAAATGACTCAGAAGGACTAAATGCTGTTTGTACTGAAAGAGTTGAGTTGAAAGAACTCGGAGGTGAGAGTGTGAGTTTCAGGATTGGAAAGATAATAATGAATAATAGAACACTGATTGAATTGGGATACCACCAACCTTTAAGGAAAATATTACAAGCAAGCATTAAGTCTCTTAAAAAGGCCCAAGAACTACCTTTGTTTACATATACATATGTAACAGCTCATAGTTTTAACTGATATGTGTTGAAAACAGTATTTCTTTAAGAGTGATGAAAGAATGGAAGAAATACCCATGAAGGTCATTGCAATATGGATATCCAAGTTGCTGGGGAACAATTTAATGTGTAGAATATAAAGATGATGCTAAAAAGTCTTGGCAGTAAAGCAGTTTTTCAAGAAAATGTGATGATTTTGGTAATTAGATATATTATATATATATTTAACTTGTATCAGAATGTTGCAATATATTTGATAGTTTTTAAGTTTACATGCTGATACCAAGAGTGCACATGCAGATCAATATTAATGGAAGTAATGATTTTCTGTGTTTAATATATCAATATAATATGGTTTCTTCACTGACAAGTAATACACATTCCAGAGGCAATGATGAGACAGTATTTAGCCACATAGCTCACCATCTAAATATCAGGAGAGCAAGCACTTCATTTACTGCTGTTTAAATATCTTCAGTGTGTTTAAAGAGATAGCTTATTAACCATCCAGCATCCTTCTACTTTCAATATAGAACAGGAGCTAATGTCTTCTCAAGTGTCAGTTTCTGAAATCTTGAAGATTTAATGGGATGTATGCTACATAATTTTTAGCAGGTTTGATAAATTCTGGGGAGAAGACTATTCCTGGAGTTGTGCTTCTGTGATAACCAGGATACAGGCTGTTACCCACTGGAAGGAGGTGGTCTATCACTGCCAACATCACCAGCAGTTTTATTAAGAAGTGGAATTACATTAAGACAGTGGCGGGAAATTTTACAAGAAAACGTTTTTGAAAAAAAATGCTAAGCTCAGACTTGATCAACTATTTGTTAATGTGATTAAACCAAGATTAAAAATCACATTCAAATGTAAAGAAGGAGAGTGCGGGACAGAAGGTTAAGAGTTATAACAGCTTAGGTGGTAAATAGGTCCTTAGGAGGGAGGGGGAGAGGGTAGAAAATGCATGTTCTTGACTTGACGGGCATTTTGATTCCTTGAAAAATTGTATCTCTTTATAACTTTGTATGTGTAAAAGCATTGTTCCCACATGCTACACTCTGTATTTGAATATTAGCAACCTTGTCTTCTGAAGTACTATCAGCCTGTAACTGCATCTAATACCAGTTATGAAATGAATATCTTTGAGTGATCAGAGATTTCACTGCGTGAATCACATAAGCACTGAACGTTAAGGAGAACAGAAGTCACCTGTGGGGCAATCCCCTGTCTCATAAGTTATAGCATATTTTCCATCTCTTTTCTCTCACTCCTTAATAACATTCCAGGGTGAAATCCTACCCCTTCTGAAGCTATTGGGAGTTTTCTCTTTGACGCCACTCAGACAGAATTCATCCTTCATGCTCTGTATTGCCTTTTGATGAGTGGGCTTCCTTCCTTCCAAATTTATCACAGCAGAATCTATGCATTAAATTCTGTCAACTTAATCACAAATAAAAGGCAGCTTAATGTTTTGTACTGTGGGTTTGATGTAAGAAACTCACAGATGATGTTTGTGCTCTTTACCTGAATATAAAATGAAAAAGCAGATAAGATGGCTGTGCTACTTGGGGTTGAATGTTCAGAACCAGATTCTTAATTACAATAAGTTTCTTTGCAAATGGGTCCGAAAGAAAACATCTAGTAGGCTGAAGCAAATTGAATACATTTTACTGGTGGTTCAGTAACCCTTATACTAAGTGGTCCATTATGTTGACGTCTGTAAGAATAGCTGTGTGAGTGAAGCCTCTTTATAGAAGATCGAAGCTCTTAACTGTTATCTATGTAAATATTTTGTGCCAGCACTCACAGTTCTATCTTGAACATCAATGATGGGTTACTTTTAAATACCCCTAGTTCATGGTTAACAAAGTGACTTGGGAGTTTTATATTAAAATAAATAAATAAATAAACAAATAAATAAAGAACTGAACAGAAAGTAAAGATTAAAGGCAAAAAAATATACAGTTACAAAGCAAAGACAAAAGCCTGACCCCTAAATAAGATCTCAGAGGAAATAAACCTGCTGATGCAGGTTTAATTCAAAACAAGTTACTGTTGAATGAAGAATGCTATCATATGACTTAGTAGATTAAAAGTGCTTATCAGTGTTGTTTTTTAAGGGATTAGAGTTTTATAATAAAGACAATTTCCAAGATAGTTGGTATCACTGTGATAACCCATCAAGAAGTTCCATTGTACCACAAATACAGGGGAATAAGCTTATGTTTTTTTAATTCCTTTTTTTTTCAACTCTTGTTGTAACCGGTTGTGCTATACTTATCATTATTGTCCAGCAACCTTTCTTTCCCTCCCCTCCTCCCCCGCTTTTGTTTTGATTTTTATTTTCTTCTGAATTTTTTTTTTTTTTTATTATCATTATTTTTTTTTAGTTGGGAATATTGTAATACCTTTGGAGTTTATTCAACTGAAACAAATGTGAGCATAGCCTTGGCTTATTTATTCAATGGAAGATATCATTACTATGTGTTAAGAAGTGCACAGAAAAACTGATGTACCCAGCTATTTCATTTTTGCTGTGTACATAAGCTACTAAGTGCAAAAATGTTGCTCTTTTTATTGCTTGCTTTAGTAGGAAGCACAGTCAGCTTCCACTAGCCCATTAAATAGGCTGATAGCTGATTCAGATGTCTGCAGAACTCTTCAAAGAACAACTAGCAGTTTGTTGCTGTACTAGTACAAGCAAACAGATAACACTTTTTATGATTTCAGATACAGCTGGAAGACACAATTAACCCTGTCTTCTTTAAGTGTCTGCCCCAACCCTGACCTGGAGAAGTAGCTTGGGACTGGGTTTTGTACTGAATGCTGTTTAATAACTGAGACATTACAAGCAGTGAGATGCCAGGTAAGTATGAAAGTATTATGCCATCTTACTTACTGCCCATTCCTGATTTTTTTAACAAAAAATAATCTAGAAATACTTTTCTGTAACAAACCCAACTGCTCTTGCTATCTGTAGATTGTGTTATTGTATTACATCATTGAAGAGATAAGTTAATCTTTCTATCAACATGCACAGAAATGCAAAGCAGTTTGAAATATGGATGTAACTCATTCTACTGCATGTGTTAGGAACACAGACCTTTGGAATAGCTGGCACGAAATGACAAGTGAAAAGAAATGTTACCACCAGTTTCATGTAGGCAACTGGCGAAAGTGTACCTGAAAGGGAGAGATGAGAAAAAAGGCACATCAAAAGGGGGAGTCACTGATGTAACAATCTGTCAACTGGGAAAGTAAGAACAGTTCTCTGCAATGTTAGCAAACTGATTTAGCTAGTTTTATCTCACTCATTTAACTTCTATGAGCCACCTACTGTGATACTTACCTACAGATTTAAAAAGGTGTCTATATGTAGAGCTCCTCTTACAGTCAACAGAGATTTAGGGTTTTCCCACATTCAGAGCTAACTGAAATGTCTTCAAGTGTTGTCTACCTGACTTTAAACTGGTACTCAGAAATGGTCTCATGTGTTAGCTGTCATTCACTAGAAATATTTATAAATATATGAATATCATACAGCCTCTTAAATTACAGCAGAGTCTGCATATAGGTATTTAAAGTCTGACCCAGGGACTAGATCGCAGAGTATCTCAAGCTCCACTGACTTTACTCAACAGATATCCACTGAACTGGGAACATCTGGATTTATCTGTCTGAAACTTGAAAAGCTCATGCAGATTAGAATAAATTTATTAAAAACAATAGATTGAGAAGTCATTAGCGTCTTAGTGTTAATGAATTTTGAAAAATGAATTGTGTTTTTTATTGTTTCATAAACCAAGATACATTTGATACATTTAATTTCTCAGGTGAATTTTAGCCTCTGAGAATCATTGCTAGAGACATCATGACAATAATTATCCACCATAGGGAACTGCTTTTCTCTTCTTTATAGAATGACAGCATAAGTTTAACCATCACTGTTTCAGAAGCAGCCCTGAGGCCTACTTTGCCAGCTGTCTTCAGTGCCTACAGAACTTGTTGTCTTCTAGATGACCACCTGGTGCAAGTGGAGGAAAAGCCTGTCATGGTTTTATGGCTTTTGATTATCAGTATTCCACATCATGACATCATGTAGTGTGCTGGGAGTTAAAATGTTAATGCTCCAGTTCTGGGCACCTGTCTTAGAAAAGAAGAAAAACTACATTTCCCAGAAGATTGTTTGCCGTGTTGTTATAGTTTCTGCTCAGGGGGAAAGATATAAGGTTTTGTAGGTCATCTGACATTTTCTTTGCTAGGCTCTCCTCTCTGCTGCTTATAACCGCACACATAACTTCAGCAGCAGTGTAAAGCTAGTGTAAAGCTGAAGAGCTTTTGGACAATCTTTCATTATATTTGGTTTATTAGCTTTGATTCTAACTATATTGTATTATAGTGTTATCTTACATTCCAATACCATAGTTAGTAAATTAGTTTGTTTCTCCTCAGATCGTTGCTGCTGATTTTAATTATTATGGGGTTCTTTGTTTCACTTTTCTGGAGGCATGGATTTTGTGAAATCCCTCCACTCCACTAGTCACGGAACTGGGCCGAACCAGCCCATAAACCATCCATTTTCCTACTGAGTTGGACTGCTCCCTAGTGTACGGCTATTTGCAGCACAAATGAAGCTTAAAAATTTAAGATTATCAAAAACTGTTAGTTCCCTAAATCCCTACACTTGAGAATCTGTTTCCATACCAGATGAAGAGATGATGGAGAAAAAGGAATTAATTCTGGGTCTCAATCTACCTTTTATTTCTTTGTTTTTAACTGAGAGGAGACCCATAAGAGAACAGCAATATAAATAAAGCAACAGTTACTATGCATATTTTCCTTTAGTAGTTAATTCACCATCACAGCTAGCCACAAATGAATGGTTTGTGTCTATATGAAATGACAAAAAGCATAAAGAATTATCTGTTTAACAGTAATACTGATCAAAATGTTAAAAGCTTAATCACTACGATGTTTCAAACCCCCAGAATAATTGGCATATGTGATGAGAAAGCCACAGACTGTGGTTGCCTGGGTGATTTCAGTGTCAACTATGACCACCTCTGTGGAGTTGAAATGACTTTTCTTTAAAGACGGATGACAATTTGCAATGTTAGTCCACTGTCCCAATAAAAAAAAAAAAAAAAAAAAAAAAAAAAAAAGCTAAATCTTTGTACTCATCAACTTGTTGTCAAGGCACTCCCAAAGCAGGCAACATTTCTGCTTTGTTACCCTGACAGGGCTGACATGTTAATGGCTGTGTCCTTAGGGAAGTAGCACAGATATCACAAAGAGGAGGAATGCACAATGTATCCCAAATTCTTACACCTTAAGCAGAAGATAGCACAGTAAGGTTGCCTCACCCCATCCCTCTTCTCATGCACTCTTCTTCCAGTGATATAATCTCCAATATAATTTCAAAGGCATGAACATGTGTTCTCCACATCTTCTCCTGGGATAACTTTTGCATGAATTATTGCTGGGACACCAGGTAAAGATATAATTGAAGTTCAGTGTGATGGATAATCAGAAGAGATGAAAAAATCTGCTGTGTTGCAGATTTGCAAAATTTTGCTTTTTCACAATACTCAACTCTTCTGTGAATATTTAAAATTCATTAAAAGGAAATAAAAGTTAAAATTATATACAACCTATTTATTTAAACAAAATATTACTTTTTACCTTTCTTTTTTTCTTTTTCCTTTTTCTTTTTCCTTTTTTTAAATTTTTTTCTTCAGAGTTTCTTGACACTAAGATACAGATTGATATGAGAATGTCAAGGATGCTAAAATGACTGTAAGAATTTGGATTGACAAGGAACAAGAAAAGATCGTGTTCAGGTCCTCAACTGCTTGAACCACCAGGTGAGAGAGAAGGATGAGAAATAAGATCTTAACATTGACTGTTTAGAATAAATGCTAAACAGGAAGAAGATAATAATAAAATGTCTGAGTGAACATCAAGCTGCAGAACTGAAAAAGAGATTGAGGGCAGAGAACAGTTGCTTATAGTTTTTCAAGAATGGGTCATTTGTAGACAGCGAGCATAGAACCTTCGAGTAGTTGCTAGTAGTAACCAGATAAGGAAGTAGTGACGCAAGTGCTTACGCAAGATAAGAGGGGCGTAGACGAAGTTGTACAAGGCTATATAAGCTGTTGCCACGAGTTAATAAACGCCATTTTACCACCCACCACATTGGTGTGCACCGAGGTAGATGGACAGACCGATGAGTCCCTAACGATTGCGAACACCTGTATGAAGCTGAAGCGGGCTTCGGGCTTCGGGCTTCATCTGGTGACCCCGACGTGACGTTAGGGAATAGTGGTCGGCCACAGGCGGCGTGGCGGGTTCCTGCTCTCGTTCCACCTCCCTTGGGGAAGGAGGTGATGACCCTAGAAGAGGGGGCTGCGGCTTAGGAGAGTGGAAGCTGGGTAGCGTCGGAGGGGGCTCTGCGGCCGAGAGCCTGCTTAACCTGCCGAGGACCCAGGAGACCATCGGAAGAGGTGCCCGGTGGTCGCTTGTTCCGTCGGGGAGATTACGCCCGGCGATGGAAGCCGTCATAAAGGTGATTTCGTCCGCATGTAAGACATACTGCGGGAAAACCCCTATGGGGAAA